TGTTCCCCGATCCTTCTAGATACTCATTACGTGTTACCAGCGTCACGTGACTTCCGCTGTCGTAAGATAGTTACCATCATCAGGGTTAGTATCTACAGTGTTAGCCTAGCTTATATAACTTCAGCTACAAACGTTACTGGGAGAGTTCCTTTTTAAAAACGAGGACAGTAAATAAGGGGTGGAAAGTAAATCGTAAATAAGGGATTACTTAAACTAAACAAGTATTCCAGTTGATAGGTCTGTCATCTGTATTTATACACATAGATCTGTTTTTAATTATACAAATACAATCTTAAGTTTCTATGTTTATTTGTGCATTTTTAAGATCTTTAAATTTTCCAATCATAATTACCATCACAGTTCCAGACATGTTGAGCTACAGTGGAGAAGATAATGTTACCATGCTTTATGTCACATGAGTGTTCTTTCAGTCTCATTTTTAATTTCTTTATTTTTATGCTATGTACATTTGTACATTTTTACTGCAACTACACTTTATTTGGTAAATTCCATATTTATCTTCAACCTTTTTAGGATCTGACTTTTTGTAAATGGTTGACAATTTTGTTTTGTGGAATGAACGCTACTTTTAACCCTTTAATCGAAATTCTTTAGCAATTTTTTCCGAAATCTCGGGAACAAATGGTATACTAATGAATTTGTTTTGAAATGGTTAATAGAGTTAATTCGGAGTATTTCATTTTTAGATGTTTGTCGTTCATTTTTTGGAAAGTTCTTGTTGAGTATCGAGCAAAGCTACACGAGGGCTATTTGCGCCACCCGTCCCATTTAGCAGTGAAAGACTAGAGGGAATGCAGCTACTCATCAACACCCACCGCCAACGTTTGGGCTAGTCTTTTACCAACGAATAGTGGGATTAACCGTAACATTATAACGCCCCCACGCTTGAAAGGGCAAGTATGTTTGGTTGGATGGGAATTCCAACCCGCGACCCTCAAACTGCATGTCGAGCACCCTAAGCACCTGGCCATGCCGGCCCTGAAGAGCTCTGTCAACAATTATAGTGTCATAACCTCTATCTACTGCTTTTACATACTATTTTTCGTTACCTTGTTTTAAATATGAACTCATCCAGTAATACATGTTAAGCTAACATTGTGGATACTAGCCTTGAGGATGGTAACTGTTACCGAAACTAGTATGCTGTAACTAAAGATTTCATCTTTCTTTTCGCTAAAAAACGTTGGTTTTGTGTGTGTGTGTGTGTGTGTGTGTGTGTGTGTGTGTGTGTGTGTGTGTGTGTGTGTTTTCTTACTTTTAATATAGAAGCACAATATGCATGAAAAGAAATTATCAAAATCCTTACACAGCTTAATGCGACAACTGCTTCAGTCACACATGTTAAAAGTTTGTAATTGAAATTGTTAGCAAGTACTATGTTAGAAACAAAATAAAACACGTTTATATCACGAAAACTTACCTCGCATTATTTGGTATATCTTCAAGTTCAAGGAAATAATAACAGAACAAAAAATATTCCAAGATTTCAAACTAGAAGATATAGAATGAACAGTGAAGCAAGTAGCTGCTTCAGGACACTCAGTGTAACAAACTTTCTTATGAAAATGTTTTTGTTTTGTTTCTTTTAAACAGCGTAAATTTATAGACGTTTGAGAACGGCTGATTCAATTTGGACAGTGTTACAAAGATGCAATTAAGACCATCTTGACTAAACATGTTTTCCACTCAGGGTCGCGTTCTGATACTAACTATTAACATCAGAAGTTGCATAATTCACGTTAATATTTATCTAATAAGATGTATTTGCAAGTGATTTTATTGAACACTTTGTTGACTATTTTTTTGCTTTATGATTGGTAACTTAGCCTACTTATGAAATATGATTGATATGGTATTCCATGAATCAGAACGACCTCCACCAAAAACAGCTGATCATATGTAGCAGTCAGCAACGATGTGTAGGATGTATTTTATGATATTTTACGTGTAAAGAAAAAAGTATTACACTGTAAAGTCTACGTTATCGAAATAGAACATAATGTAGCGCTCACAAAAGCACTGCAATGAACTGAAATATTTGAACAAAATCTTTTAAGAAATTCGTTTAAAAGGTTTAGTGCCTAAACTAACGTACTTATGATAATCAACCATAATTACAGAAAAAATCAGAGCTAGATTTTGTCAGATTACAGACGTTGGATGTTGTGGGCTCGAACAGCCACATCTTTCTTTTTTCTATTTATTTGTCTTATTTTACTTTATTTTTTTTTCTTTACACGCGAAACTTCGCGAAAGGAGGTTAAGACTGATAGACATTGTATCTCCATCGTCATGTGGGTCCTACTTCAGCAGTCACCTTCAAAAACTAGGACTCGTACCACTCATTATAGCCCGTGCACTGTTGACTGTTTTGCTGTGCAGTGTTTTTGTTTAATGTTTGTTTTATACTATAAATGTTTTATTTCATTATAAATTATCTCGCCGTTTGTAACGCAGTTTTCTTTTGGACGTAAATATTAACTGCTTAAATAATGTTTGTTTACATTACACATATATGTATATACTTACAAGTGATAGAAACAACCATCTGCATGAGAAACCACTCAGTCCATAGTTGTTTAATCATCCTGGTAAACATAGTTTAAGTTCAAAAACACATCACAGTAACGGTGGCTTATACACGCTGTCTTACTCACTGACATGACACCCTATCAAATACAGCTGTAAAATGTTTTCACCGTTTTTTGTTCCTTCCAGGAAAGGGAGGTTTTATGTAGAATTCTAGAAGGAAATCTTGTGTCGTCTTTGTTATCGAACTAATACCGTCTAAACTCTGAATTTTACAAAAGACTGTATATAGTATACAGCCTTGTTTAATCTTTATAGACCCTACTCTGCCTTTGTAGAGGGAACGATGATTATCAACGGCATTACAACAACACTAAGAGAGACTAAGCAAATCAAAGAAAAGTACCAACCAACCATCCATGACTAATGTAAGAATATTTTAACAACTAGAACAGAAACATCCTATTTATACGTTTTTACGATTACGTGCTCGCTGCACTGATGACCAGATCGAAACACATATATCCAAAGTAGCAAACCAGCATGATGGTTTCAGTAACCCTTCTTTCCTTGCGGACATCAAGTAACATAAATTGGACGACAGATACTAAAGATATTCTAAAGCACGTGTTATTTGCATGCAGCCAACTTATAAAGTCTTACACCCCTCTTCTTCTATACAACTCAAAACTGCCTTCGACTTTTCTTTCGGTTTAAATACAGCGCATGCGGACACTCACTTCACATCAAAAGCGGATATGTTGCCTTCTAAACCGACATTCCTGCCACTGACCTCATATGCTTAATTTTACTGGAACTATTGCTGTGTTCTGCTTTTTTATTCAAGGCGAACTGCTCAAACGCGACTCAATGATTGGCACGTACTGTACATGACGTCACTGTAGCGAATCGTTGCAAATGAATGACGAGTGTAGCAAGTAGTGTTTGTCTTACAACTTTTGAAGAGCGCGCTAACCTCAGCTTTTCCGATAGAAGGCGCAAACAAATGGTAGTTGGTGTTTGGCGCGAACTAGCATTCCAATATATTAACATAACAAGAATGACAAAAAAAAAAAGAGGTAAAACGTACATAGTATCATTCATCACATGGCTATTTTAGCCTTGAAAATGTTACTGAAACTAATCAAACGTTCTAATAATAATTTTTGGTAAACAGTCAACATTTCGTTATTGTTTTTTTTAAACATTATCGAGTCAATTTCAGAA